CAGCAGGAAACCATCAGATCCTTCCATCCTAGAACACTGAACCTGTAAACTCTTTCACATGTGCTTAACTTTAAATGTCTTTTTGAAGCTAAACAAATGCTTGAAGGCTTTTGGATCACAGCATTTCTTCAATCTTCAGAAAAGAGCATAACCTTAACCAATGTCTACCACAATACAGAAAAGCCTAGAGACGTAAGGCTAAAGTTGCCACCTTTGAGCTTGATGCTTTGGTTGAGGTAACGGTATAACGCAACTGCAAATCTTACAAAAATCCACCAGCAGCACTAATCTGATCCTGGCAGACAGGGTTTTGTCAGCCTAGGTAAAATTACTTACAGTTATTCTAAAGCTGTTAGCTCTTTTGGACAGTGTGTGGTGTAGAGAGACTGAAGTCACTTTATCATTGATGAGCGAGGAAAACCTGATACAGAAATAATAAAATAACCACTAATAGGAAAAGGTGCCCATTTCTGAACATCCTGCTCCTTTCGATTTAAGGCGACATGCTGGCTCAAACATGTAAAACATACGAACCCAAACAACAAAAGTTGGTATGTACTGGCTTCCTCTGACGAGTGTGGGATGAGGGAAGGACCAAGATTGTAATTCCTTGCGTATTGATGATGAAAGTTGGTTTAAACAATGGAAACATTTTGTACAATTACACAATGGCCTTACTCAGTTACAAACCTTCAAATTCTAATTGCAATTTCTAACCAGCTTCATAAGGAAACAAGGTTTCAACAGTTCCAGGATACTTGTACTTCTCCTCCCAAACTCCACTTCCTTCCTAAATTCTGCCATCATCAACAAATTCTGTAAAACCTGACAGCAATGTTAAGATTGTAGGTTTATACAGTTTTGCAGGCTGAAGGCATGCATCCAAATTAGCGCTCGTGCTGAAGGGAACCAGCTGTGGCTCAGCAGCAGCACAGACAGAACCGGGAGTCAGCTACGGCATCAGCAGCTTCTTGCCTGGTGGTACTTGGGGGACTTGAAGATATGAGAGCGAGGGAGGGATCCCCAAAGGACTAATGTCTATCAGGGAGTGATGACATACAGCTATCAGAGTGGTGGTATACGAGGATCAGTTAGCTCCCCTCACGGTAACACCCCTTCACAATTTGCTGTGTCAGAACAAGTGTTACAAGTACAGCATTACTTGTAAAGTGGTACAGCATGATTTTGTATGATACTTCTGCTAGACTAGAATTTATATCACTCTTTATAGCTCATCGATTAATTTGTCAGCTTGCTAAGGTTCATGTAATAACCTACTCTAAATAAAACTAATAATACTGCATCTGGTTTTAAGCAGCGTGTGTATAAGACAAAATACAGCTGTGTGCCTGGTCAGACTGACGGAAACTACAGAGGGGAAGGCGCAGCAGTACTTCTTCCTTTGCTCAGGGACAGTTTTCTGAAGGAACAGGATTCACAGAATCACAGAATGGTAGGGGTTGGAAGAGACCTCTGTGGGTCACCCAGTCCAACCCCCCTG